GCATTGGCACACATCAACAGAGTAAGCCTGTCTTTCATAGGCTTATGTCCTGGGAGTGCCTTTTCTTCCTGAGTAATGTAGGTCCTGCTTGGCATTTTCTTCCAAAACAGGCCTGTTTCATCATAATTAAACACTTGTTCAGGTTTCAGTCCTTCACTGTCTATGTACTCCTTGAATTCCTGCACATATTTTTCAGCTGCTTTTTGGTCCGAACTGGCAGCCTCACCATGCCTTATCACACTATGTATGCCACTATGCTTCTTAAATTTCTCAAACCAACCTTTGCTGGTTTTAAATTCACTCACATCATCACTAGTTGCAGGCATTTTTCTAATTAAATCGTCATGCAACTTCCTAGCCTTTTCACATATGATCGCTTGAGAGATGCTATCTCCTGCTATCTGTTTTTCATTTATCCACACCAATAACAGTCTCTCGACATCTTCTATCACTTCTGATCTCTGTTTCAAAAACAAAGTTGCACCTTTGGCAAGAACAGCTTCCTTGGTTGCTCTTTTCTTGGCCACAATAGTAGTGATGGTTGATTGGGGTTTTGTGTACAACCTGGCCAGCTCGGAGACACGCACTCCACTTTCATACTTAGCAATGATCTCTTTCTTCATATCCATAGTAATTCTCACCCTTTTTGCTGTAGGGTTGGCACTAGAAGCTTTCTTGGGGCCTATGGTGACTTATTTTGCAGGTGCAATCACTAAAAAGGCTGTGATAATATGAAATGTTCCGATTGTATGCTTGGAAGCGACCGTGGTGGCTGGCTTGTAAACACTGGCACCCACGGATCAAGTGAGGCAGGCTCACGCTGCACGTGGACACGTCTCGAACGAATCGCGTTGAGTGAGTTTTTTAGCGCTAGCCGAAGCAAAATTTTTGCTTTAAAATGTATCGCTAGGCTGATTCAACGTTATGCGATGTGTTTGTTAGGTGAGGGTCCACTGTATTTCTAGACAATAGTATGTGACTTAGGTAGATGAAAATGTTCACCTGTCACTGTGTGTGTGATCATTTGAGTACTATTTCAGTACCTAATATTAGTGTCAGAAAAAAGATTGGCTATGAAATCACAAGAACTACTATAAATTGTAAATATCAGAACATAAAAATTATATAAATTAAAAAAAATGAGAAAAAAAGATATGTCGGCAACACTTCTGCAAGCGGCAGCGCTTCATGTTCCTGTAGGTGAGTGACAAACGCCGACTTTGCGGCCTTGTATGTAAAAAAATGCCCTCTTTATTTATTTATTTTTTTTTTTTCAAAATATATGGAGCGCTGGCTGAGAGAATGTAGATCTACGTTTGGACAGTTAAGGGGTTAAAGTACAGCCTTTCCTCACTTAGCGACGTACTCGTTTACTGACCACTCAGACTTATGACCAGCTCTCCAACCAGTATACGAAACTAAATAATGTATATTAGATCTGATTTCCTCTATCTGTTTATTAAAGTATACAGTACACTACTGTGGAGCGGGCCTCCAGCAGCAAGAGCCTGGTTGACCAGGCAAGCACAGGTGAGCCTGGCCCATGGCCGGGCTCAGAGAGTAGATAAACTCTCGAAACTCTTCAAAGGTACCAAGATAAAAGGCCATAAAGTTGGCTCTGGATGCTCACCTGACGGCAACATGGAGTCCTGCCTCTTCCAGAAGTGTTGCCGATATACCTTTTTCCTTGCTTTCTTTTTTTAATTTATTTAATTTTTATGTTCTGATAATGACAATTTGTAGTGGTTCTTGTGATTTCATAGTCAATGTTTGTTCTGACACTAATATTAGGTACTGAAATAGTACTCAAGTCACACACTGATAGGTGAACATTTCCACTTGCTTTGGAATATATACAAAGTATTTATAGGTCTCAGCAATATTTTAGACTTTTTTTTTTTTTTACAAGTCGGCCGTCTCCCACCAAGGCAGGGTGACCCAAGAAGAAAGAAAATCCCCAAAAAGAAAATACTTTCATCATCATTCAACACTTTCACCTCACTCACACATAATCACTGTTTTTGCAGAGGTGCCCAGAATACAACAGTTTAGAAGCATATACGTATAAAGATACACAACATATCCCTCCAAACTGCCAATATGCTGAACCCCTCCTTTAGAGTACAGGCATTGTACTTCCCATTTCCAGGACTCAAGTCCGGCTATATAAAAATAACCAGTTTCCCTGAATCCCTTCACTAAATATTACCCTGCTCACACTCCAACAGCTTGTCAGGTCCCAAATACCATTCGTCTCCATTCACTCCTATCGAACACGCTCACGCACGCCTGCTGGAAGTCCAAGCCCCTCACCCACAAAACCTCCCTTACCCCGTCCTTCCAACCTTATCGAGGATGACCTCTACCCCGCCTTGTCATTCTACTTTGATCCATTCTCTCTAAATGACCAAACCACCTCAATAACCCCTCTTCAGCCCTCTGACTAATACTTTTATTAACTCCACACCTTCTCCTAATTTCCACACACCGAATTTTCTGCATAATATTTACACCACACATTGCCCTTAGACAGGACATCTCCACTGCCTCCAACCCCTCCTTGCTGCTGCATTTACAACCCAAGCTTCACACCCATATAAGAGTGTTGGTACTACTATACTTTCATACATTCCCTTCTTTGCCTCCATAGATAACGTTTTTTTTTTTGTCTCCACATATACCTCAACACACCACTCACCTTTTTTCCCTCATCAATTCTATGATTAACCTCATCCTTCATAAATCCATCCGCCGACACGTCAACTCCCAAGTATCTGAAAACATTCACTTCTTCCATACTCCTCCTCCCCAATTTGATATCCAATTTTTCTTTATCTAAATCATTTGATACCCTCATCACCTTACTCTTTTCTATGTTCACTTTCAACTTTTTACCTTTACACACACTCCCAAACTCGTCCACTAACCTTTGCAATTTTTTCTAGACATGCTGGAGTATGTATGAAACTCCTTGAATCATGGTATAAGATGAGTGTCACTCCACTGCTGCACTGTCAGCAGTGGAGTGACATCTGATAATTGTGCACCCGCCTTGGTTTTATTTATTTTCACTGTTATACATGAACATGTCTATCTGTCTGTGTCTGTATCTGTCCCTCTGTCTGTCTCTGCTTATCTGCCTTTCTGTCTGTCTTCCTGTCTCTCTGTCTGCTTGTCTGTCTTTCTGTCTCAGAGAGAGAGAGAGAAGTTCTCATGTCTGATTCTTGAACAAGTGGAGATGCATATTACTTGCCAGTCCCGCTTATTATGCCTTATATCTACAAACTGTATAGCACTTTGTCTTGATTTTGTTGGTTATCCTAGGTAATTTACACTATGAATAATTACTGTGTTTATGTGTATCTATGAGGCAGAGATAGACAGAGACAGAGATAGACAGAGACATGGATAGACAGAGACATGGATAGACAGAGACATCCAGAGAGAGACAGATACAGACAGATGGAGATAGAGACAGCCAAAGTCAATCAGCCAGCCAGCCAGCCAGCCAGCCGGCCTGCCGAACATGTATTACTCATGTTCCAGAATTGTTTCTCTTTACTTAGGGCATAGGTTATAGGATATACTGGCAGGATGACACTACCAGTGGTATCAAATTTGAAAGGATATTGCACATGGGTTATTATCAAGGTTTTTTATATTTTTTATTTTTTTTTTTTATTTTTTTTTATTTTTTATATTTTTTATATTTCTGGCAGTTTGGAGGGATATGTTGTGTATCTTTATATGTGTATGCTTCTAGACTGTTGTATTCTGAGCACCTCTGCAAAAACAGTGATAATGTGCGAGTGTGGTGAAAGTGTTGAATGATGATGAAAGTATTTTCTTTTTGGGGATTTTCTTTCTTTTTTGGGTCACCCTGCCTCGGTGGGAGACGGCCGACTTGTTGAAAAAAAAAAAAAAAAAAAAAAATGACTTGCACATGGTTCTGTGTCAACAGGAACTACACATGTCCATGAGACTTACACCCACCAGTGAATATATATCCTCTTCTTCTTTTCTTTTGAATTATCAAGGGTAAAATATGAAGGCACACATTGTACATTAGCTGATGAAGTTGTTTTTCATAATAAACAAGAATGTGTGAGGGTGACAGCAATGTTTTGCTTACATCTTTTCATCCCTCCCACCACCCTCTGCTCCTCACTACTCTTGGTTTTATTTATTATTAAAATTTTTATTTAATTAATTAAAATAGTACATATTTTCCCTTGCTGCAAGGGAAAATATGTACTATTTTAATTAATTAAATAAAAATTTTAATATTGATCAAATAGCTTTTATTTATAAAAGCATTGTGGTAGTCAATTTCAAATAGGTTTTATTTATAAAAGCATTGTGGTAGTCAATTTCAAATAGCTTTTATTTATAAAAGCATTGTGGTAGTCAATTTCAAATAGCTTTTATTTATAAAAGCATTGTGGTAGTCAATTTCACAACAGTGAGATGGACACACAGACCCTTGGACCATCATAATCCTTAATCCCAATGGTTTTTATTATAAATTTGTTAGTAAATTCAAAACCAAATATTTTTTTTTTTAAACTTTGCCCAGTATTGCTTTGAAATCTTGGAACTGCATCTGAATATATAACCAGGTATGATTGTAGCATCAAAGGAAACATCAGTATTGAGAATTCCTACAGGGTCAGTATTTGCTAATGTAAGACCTGAGTCTATTGGTAATGACTTTTTTAGACATTGTATCATTAATGGGCCATCACATTTCATGAGTATGTGCCAGAAATGCAACACAAACTAATTTAGAGTCAATGAACTGGGAGTGAGGCATTATGTTAATATAAATATTCCCTTTGGCAGCTGCTGAGACACTGTACCTTCAGCAACATAACTCATTAGATTGGAGTTATAAATTAACAAAAATTATTTTTTGGGTGGCTAGTACTTAAGAGTTCTCCAAAAATATAGAATATACCCTATTTAGAGAGACAACATTTGATAACTTGTTGTTTTCACAGGGTCCACCTGGTTCTGCAGGCCCCCCTGGTCCTGGTACGCCAATCATGCCCAGTCCGCAAGGTTAGTACTCTACTCATTTATTTTGTTATTCTGTTTTCTGTATCTGGCACATTTAACAGCTTGTTCAGTTCTAGGTTATATATCACCAGTAACAAGACGAACAAATTTGGCCATATGTTTTACTAAATTGGCAAACAATTTCCTCAAATCTCTTAATTTTTTTCAGCTCCAATTGTAATTTGCTAAAATAAAGGATATATTTTTAAATTGTATTGTTATTTACAGCACAATGATAATATAGTACACTGCCATATTGTTTCCTCTTTTACACAACCTCCTTTTGCTCAGTCCCCAACTAAGCAGGAACTTTTTTCAACATTTTTGAAAATGAAGTTCAAGCCCTGGTAAGACTGGATATCCCACAGTGCCCCTAGCTGCATTAATAACCTATCCTAGCTGCATTAATAACCTATCCTAGCTGCATTAATAACCTAACCTAGCTGCATTAATAACCTAACCAAAGCTCTTACTCAAATTTTAGCATCTTTTAAATACAGCTTGACTATTATTCCCGTCTATAGAATCCAGCACATATGCTATTTAATCATCGTTCCAATTGCTTACCAGATATTTTATACATCCAGCAATTTGCTTAAAACTATTTCACCAATGTATGCAATGTATTTCTGAAGTGGGCATTGTTTTTTGATAGAGTACCTTTACTATAGAGTAATAGAATATATAAGATTACTTGTTGTCTTCTGTGTTTTATGGATTTTCCAAGGAAATGCAAATATTCAGTGATAATTCAGTGGTATAAACTAGAATAAAAACATGAGCATTTAAAGGTACTTTGTTTTAATTTGACAAAACAGTCAACAGTAGTAAAAGAATGTACAGAAAAAAAAAAGGGTTTTTGAATGTTCATATTTAACCCTTAAACTGTCCGAACATAGATCTACGTTTTTTCAACATTTGAAAGTATGTAAAAAAAGTAGATCTTCTTTTCTTTTTTTACATTTGAAAACGTGTAAAAAACTTAGATCTACTTTTTTTTTATATATTTGAAAATACGTAAAAAAAACGTAGATCTACTTTTGAAGCACTATGCATGTGAACATAGATCTGCTTGGACAGTTTAAGGGTTAAAAAAAAAGAATATCACACTGAGATCACCTAGAACAAAAACTTAAGTATCACACCAGATGGAAGCACAAAAGGAACAAAAGGCCATCTGTGATATTGTAAGAAACTCCAGGAATTTATACACATGCAAAATCCAAGTTAAGAACTACCTGTAGAATCAAAGCATTAATCACAGGAGGCTGATACACCAACAATGAAAAGGGAATAATCAGAATTCTAATAGAAAAGACAGATATGAATCATTGTTTAGCACTCCACTAAAATGAAAACAAAGTTGATTATGAAGAAAGTTTTTTTTTCAGTTACCTCTGAAGGCCACACACACCATATAACTTGACAAGATCTAATTCTATGGCATTTAGCCCTTTGACTGTTTCGGCCGTATATATACGTCTTACGAGCCAGTGTTTCGGATGTATATGTACTCAGTAATTCTAGTGGCTTCAGATAAAGCAGGATAAAGCTTGTAGGCCCACATGTGAGAGAATGGGTCTGTGTGGTCAGTGTGCACTGTATAAAAAATCCTGCAGCACGCAGTGCATAATGAGGAAAAAAAAACTCCGACTGTGTTTTTTGGATTAAAACGCCAACTTTGAGGTGTATTTTCGTATAGTATTTATGGTTGTATTCTCATTTTCTTGGTCTTATTTGATAGAATGGAAAACATATTACAGAAATAGTGGTGATGTTGATTAGTTTCACGAAGAAAACGAAACGAAATTAAGATCAAAGTAGCGGAAATGTTTTATTTTTACCAATGTTTAAGAGTAAACAAATCACACCACACATCCAATATACATCAACTGGGGAGTCTGATATTCTTTCACTAGTGCACTGATATTATTTATACCATTTTTACAATAATGCAGTAGTCTGCAATACAGTAAATCTTCTATTTTTTGTGTGAATAAAAAAATTAAAATAGAAATCAAGAGACGTGAGTAATGAACAGAGGATATGTTATTTTAGTGCAAAGAATGTCTGCATTGTTTATTCTGGACCCTATTTTGAAATTGGCATCTTTTTAAATTTACATAAAATTGGCCAAATTGCCAATTTCTGACCACTGGGTAGTTAAAATTGGTAAATGTGCAGTTTCTTGTGCTCAGTTGATAGAAAAAACTGGAGTTCTAAAGATATTGCTATGAGTTTGGTCGACTGGAACAATGGAATTGGCCTAAAATAGGGCTCAAAGATGGCGAAATCGCCAATGTGTATATATCGCCGAGATCGCTAACTTTGTGGGAGCGTAATTTCATAAGTTTTCAATCAAATTTCATACTTTTGGTGTCATTACCCTCAGGAAAAGAGTCTTTATCACTTCATAAGATTTTTTTTTTTTTTTTTTCAAATCTTTTTTGACATAGAATGACAGTTTCAGAAAGGGGCTTGCAGCATTCATAGGGTTAAAAGAGAAATAGAAAACATGGTGAGTCATGCAGCACTTGGATCGGCAGAAGACGCAGAAGAAAATTGCAAGATATAAGCAAAGTCTTCCAGTGGACAGTGGAGAATTACAACATATTTAATAATGAAAAGTTCCAGTTGTTTAGATATGGAAAGAATGAAAAACCTCAAAATGAGCACTATACACATACACGCACACGCACACATGCGTGCACACACACACACACACACACACACACACACACACACACACACACACACACACACACACACACAAAAAAAAAAAAAAAAAAAAAAAAAAAAAAAAAAAAAAAAGGATCATCACCCTGTGAAAGACCTGGGTGTAGTATTGTCAACTGAGCTATTTAAAAAAAAATAAAACAATAAAGCAAGTATAACAGTAGCCAATAAAATGACTGGATGGACAATTAGATCTTTCAAGATCAGGAAAATATTGATAGTGGTGACACCATTCAAATCACTTGTGCTTTGAGCATTTTTCAGTGCTGACATCTCTGTTCAGGTAATTGGACTTTTGCTCAAATTCCTTGAATTGAGCCATCTCAATGTCTTTCATTTTCCCAGGCACTGTATAACCCAATGGGTTTAGTGTTCCCCCCCTTAATTATAATAATCATCTCCTCAGGGCAGGAGAGATATCAGAGCTGAAATAGATATAGAGCCAGTAAAGTATGGGTGGGGAGGGGAGAAAGAAGGAAAGGGATAGATCCATTGCAGTGATCGGGAAGGAAAACAAAATGAGTTAAATGAAAACAGTGACAAGCTTAAGAGTCCTCAAGAAGGAACTTATTCATTTCTTCTGCAAAGTGGTAGATTAACTTGGCTGTGGGTCAGCAGATTACCAACAGCAACAAATTGGCTGAACAGGCAGTCAACAAAGAAGACTGACCCCCTGGCCTGTCTCTGAATATAAAATAAAACACCTGAACTGTCCACCTTATCATTTTCCTGGCTTTCGTAACATTTGTCTTACTGTGTTCTTAAAAAAAAAAAAAAAAAGCCAGTTGGCATTATTACAGCAGAGTCCTTCAAATGGTGACCCTCTTACATTTTATAAACAGTGTTCCTCTTGAAGTTTTCATTCTTTCCATATCTAAGCAACTGGAAGGTGTCACCATTAAACATCATGGTATTCTTCAGTGCCAACCGGAAGACTTTGCTTATATCTTGCAATTTTCTTTCGCATGCTCTGTTGATCCATGTGCTGCATGAGTGAGCATGTTTTCTATTTCTAATTCCATGGGATTAGTGTTTATATTAGTTATATGATGTGTGTGGCCTTCAAAGGCAGTGAAAAAAATTTCTGCATTCTCTACCCTGCTTTCATTTAGTGAATCGCTGAATTATAATTCACAATTGTCTTTTAGAATTTTTCTCATTCCTTTTTCATTATTAGTGTATGAGCCTCCTGTGATTAATGATGCAATTCTTCAGATAATTCTTTACTAAGATTTTCCTGTTCAAATACATAAAGTCAGTGCCTGACCAGTTGACCTGTGGTTCATATGTTGGTTTGCACGTGGCCAGGAGTAACAGCCTGGTTGATCAGGCCCTGATCCACTATGAGGTTTGGTCATGAACCGGGCCATAGGGGCATTGACCCCTGGAACAACCTATAGGTAGACTCCAGGTAGGAAGGTAAGGATGTTAGGAAGCAATTTATTCAGTTTGAGTGGGTATGAAATGAGTTAATGATCTTGGTGAGGAAGTGGTGGAGGCAGGCTCCATGCATAACTTTAAAAGGAGGTGTGATAGGGCCTTCGAGGCTAAGAGGGAGTGACTCTGGAAAGTGGCATGTTAATAAGCAGGGCCAGGTTCTGCAATTTAACCCTGCAACTACAAATAGGTGAATACAGGAGCCAGGGCACTGAGAAATAGCTATGTGTTGAGCAGCAATTAAGAACAGATGTCAGATAAAATTAATAACTTAAGACATGGATATGATATGGAGCTTGGTGGAAATATTGTTATCCACAGGAAGACCTAGCCCAGGGCTGGGCTGCAGGATTAGGAAAACTCCCAAAACAGGTTACAGGTAAAATCCATCTTCAAAACTTTGAATGAAATGTAAAGAAGTTTGAATGACAGACCAGCTGCTGGAGAAGAAATACCTGAGTGAATATAGGAAACAGTTCAGAAAATTTATAAGAATAAAACATTTTATTGATATGGGAAAGGAGGCAGTTAAAAAAAATGACCAGTCCAAAAAGCAGCACTCAAAGCTATGGTGCCAAATGCTGCATAGATCATCTCCAAGGATAATGCAGAGAGGAACAAAGCAGTTGTTATTGGAGCACAGGAAATTAGACATGAAGCAGAATGGGAAGTGAGGAAAGAACATGATTGCAAAGGAGAGAAAGAACTCTGCATTCTGGAAATGGAAGACTTGCAGAAATTAGAGATAAGGAGACAAGGTAGGTGTGAGGAGTCTCGTATAACATCTCAAGGATAATTTTTATAATCGGATAAATAAGAGATCTTACGAA